AACGTGTCCTTTGTGTACCCGTACACATATTATATGTATATATTATTGTTGTTTTATTTTTATTTCTTATTTCATAGAAAGAACGAAATTTGGCTTCCTTTAGAGCATCTCCAATGGTTTGCCATTGGAGCTGCCATTGCTATATATAGCAGCTGTCATTGAATTTTGATGCTCCAATGGCAAAACATAGCAGCTGCCAAATTTGAGAAATACCAAAGCTTGTGTCAAATTTGACACAAGCTTTGGCAGCTGCCATTCATGCCAACTCAGCAAAAAACCAACGGTTTCAAAAATTATTCATCAAACAGATTCACAGATTCACAGAAAAAAAATTACAGATTCAGAATTAGAAAACATGAAAACGGATTGAAACATGAAAATTACAGATTCAGAATCATAATTAGAAAATTCAATTAAAAAAAAAAAACTTGTTAAAAAAAATTCAATTGAAAATTCAATTAGAAAATTCAATTACAAATTCAATCAGAATTATAAAATTTAATTAGAAATCAGAAGAAGATGAAGAAATAAAAAAAAAAAAAAGTTTCAATCTTTATTTATAATTCAATTAGAAATAAAAAAAAAAGTGAAGAAATAAAAAAAATGAAGATGAAGATGAAGAAATAATTAGATTTGCTGATTATAATTCAATTTTCTAATTAGAAATCAGAAGAAGATGAAGAAATAAAAAAAAAAAAAAGTTTCAATCTTTATTTATAATTCAATTAGAAATAAAAAAAAAAGTGAAGAAATAAAAAAAATGAAGATGAAGATGAAGAAATAATTAGATTTGCTGATTATAATTCAATTTTCTAATTAGAAATCAGAAGAAGATGAAGAAATAAAAAAATGTGTCACTTTGTAAAGCTTGGTGTCATATTTCTGAAGATCCAATTGTTGGCAATTCATGATCTTATGCTCACTTTTGGGGAAGAATTTTTGAAAATTATTGCTCCCTTCAGAATGATCAATCAATAACACAAGTGTCTATCCAATCACGATGGGGTATAATCATGAAATGTTCCAACAAATTCGTGGATGTTTAGCGCAAGTCGAAAATCTACACCCAAGTGGGATGTCTTAAGTTGATATGGTAAGATTTCATTTTCATTTATTACGTTTGTTTTTATTATTTCGCCTCATATAAAAATTAACTAATTACTTAATTTAATATTTTATTGATACAGATGCTTCAAGCAAAACTTTTATACCATCAAGATGAAAATAAACATTTTGCTTTTGAACATTGCTGTCCAAATTTAGCAATGTGTTGGAGACATTTAACCAACACTTTGCTAAGAAGGAAATGGAAAAAGCTGAAAGAGAAGAAAAAATGATTCAAGCACTGCAGGAGATGAAAGAACTTGAGATGAAAAAACATGACTTCGAGATCAGAAGACAAGAACATGAGATGAGAAAGGAAGAACACCAAATAATGACTACGGACATTTCTCATTTGGACCCTCAGATGAAAGCGTATTACACAATGCGAAAAAATGAGATTTTCGCCAAGTGGTCCTCAAATGTGAGCAGCCCAAATTTTTATTTCCCCCTACCTCCTGATGAATAATTACGGGATAAATGTTAGTCTTTATTTTTTGCAATATCATTTTTATTTTTGATGTAATTGTTAGTCTTTTTTTATGTAGTTACGGGATAAATGTTAATCTTTATTTTTTGATGTAATTTTTAATGAAATTCCATGTTGTTTTAAGAAACATTTTTGAGTATTTTGTACTTCACAATGTAAAAAAAGACATTAACTAACATTAAAAGACATTGTAAAATAAAAAGACATTAACTGACATTAACTGTCATTAAAAAGATAAAATGCTGGGTTAATAATGGATGGTTGTTGGTGGTTGGTTGTTGATGGATAATTGGTGATTGTTTATTTTTTATGTGTAGTTAAAAAAAATTATTAAATATGTAGTGATATATTTTTTGGTGGGGTGAATTAATCAAACAAATTTTGTTTTTTTTCCAATTTTTCATTTTTTTTTATTTTTTATATTTGTCTAATTTTTTTAACAAACAGATAAAAAAATGTCACAAAAGACAAAAAATAAATAAAAATAAAATCACAAAAAATCTATATCCAAACAACACCTACAAAGTTGGAGGGAAAGTTGGTTGAGATTTATCAAAAATAGCAAATGACCATTGGAGCACCATTGCTATAATTTGGCAAAATAACACTATTCATTGCCAAATTATAGCAATAACAATCCCAATATAGTAACAACCATTAGAGATGCTCTTACAAGCACTTTCTTATCTTTTTCCTTCTTTTTTTTGTCTACAAATTTAAGATCCGAACATTACATAAATAAGTGCATAAAGAAATTGGGAAAAATCAAAATCCCCGTTTCTTCCGCCCTAAGATACACTCAACTCAAGGGTGACAGCAACACAACACGTCTAAGATTAAAAAAAAGTAAAATTTTACAAAAGATCACATGCTCAAAATACAAAGCACAACACTACATATTGACCTTTAAAAGATTAAAAAAAGAATAACTATCAGTGTCAAACACAGTAAAAAGTGTGGAATGTGAAAGCTTGGCTTGGCTGTTATAAACCAAGTTCATGTATGCAATGCAGCCTCAATAAGATAATCCAAAAATGGCCTAAAAACTGACCTAAATGCATTCCAATTCAGCCCCCCCCTCTCTCTCTGTCTCTCTCCTGATGAGGCAGACAACACCTTATCTCTCTCATCAATCTGGACTTATCCTGACATCCCACCAATAAAAGGAGATTGTATATGTAAAATGTGGTACAGAAAAGTTATTTCATATGCACGTCAAAAAGAAAAAGATATCACAACTCTCAATGGACAAAGAGAGAATATGCCCCAGCTGAGGGGGTCCATTCTCTTATATCCATCCACTTTTTCCACCAGTAGTGTAGTGCTCAATCCAAAAGGTATCAAAATATTATTGCTGTCTCAACCTTAGGAAAAATAAAATAAAAGTTAGGGCAACATTTTTCTTCGGTTTTCTGTCCATCTTCTTTGAGTCCGGATCCCTTCCTTGCAACTCCTTCTTATAATTCTCCTTGCAACGACTGAGATCAACTGTTGCAACCTCTAATAGTCATAAAACAAATAAATAAATAAAATAAAGAAATTAAAATCAGTCGTTAGATGTTGCAACGGCTGATCTCAACCGTTGCAAGGAGGGGATCCCAACTCCATCTTCTCTATAATCTGTATTGGTAGACCAATGGTAAAAGACTTGTTTTGGGATGAACTGTACACTCATTCTTTTGACTGCAGTTTATAAGTTTTGCTTGTTTTTATTTTTATTTTTAAATTGAGACAATTTTTTAAATTATTTTTTAAGTTCGTCTAGACTAGATGATGCTATAAACTAGAAAATGGGATATTTTTCAAATAAGTCTACTAAAGATAAAAATAACTTTATGAGGTTTTTTTGCACAAAATTTGATGTATTTCATCTTTTAGTTAACTTTTTCAAAATCTTTTCAATTTGTTTTTTCAAAATTTTGGATTGTTTAATTCAGATGAACTTAAAAAGTAAATTTTTTTGACTCAAGATTAAAAAAATTCATTAAAGACAAAAAAAAAAAGAAAAGCCAAAAAAAAAAAAAAAGTCAACTTATAAATTGTGCTAAAAGAGTTTGATTTGTTCTTGTGTTGCACTTGATTATAATTGATGTACCTGTTTTATAGTGAATGCATGTATTTAGAGTTTATTGATATGTGTGTTTTAGAGTTTATTGTGTAGAGATTAGTCCAACGACTTTAGAGAGGTTTTTTTTGTCAATAACACATACATATGATGTACTATAGAATCTCCCCATATATAGAGATATCTCTCGGGAAAAAATGCATCTTTCTTGGTTTTACAAGTGAAATTATTTTATTGCAGCCCTTTCATTATGCTTAGTTTGAAATAGTTTTCTCTGTAATCTTAATAGAGCACGGGTTATTTCTTTTCTACCATGGAAATTGGCTCATTGAATAAATGAGTCGAGTGTAACACATTTTGACTCTCGTTAATTTTTGAGTTTGGCATGATAAATTCTTATATACTATAAAAAATCAAACTTCTCGAGTTTGGTTCAATTAAAATTTATTTGATATAAATAAAATTTTAAATCAAATCTAAACAACAACGTATTATTCGATTTGATTTGCTTACAATATTTGATTTGATTTAATAAGAAAAGGAGAATGATTAGAGCTGTCCACAGGTGTAAATTGTACAACAAATCTGGAAGGTAAGTTGATAAATATATTATCTTATTACCATTGGACATTTAAAAAAATTTCCGATAAGAAGATTGTCAGATAATTAATCACCAAAACCAATATCTTATTTGTTTTCCTTTTAGCTATCCACTGGAATCTGTCTCTTTGACTATTATCTTACAATAATTCCCTGAACATCATAGGCCTTGCACAAATAATCCACTTTAGCAGTCTAAATAGAATGATTGGCAAAGTTAAATGAGAATCAAGTCATTAATGATAATGAGTTTTTTTTTAATATTATTTAAAACATTATTTTATTATTAAGACCATTTTTTTATTTTTTATTTTATTATTATTATTTTTTTTTGTGTGAATACATTTGGGATCATGCTATTGGGGGGCCATCTACCAAAATTTTGAAAATCCCACATAATTAGGCCTGTTTGGTAGAGCTGTGGGAAAGTGATTATAGATTATAGCTTAACAGATTATAACTTATAGCTGTGAGTATAAGCTGCTAACCTGTTTGGTGTAGCTGTGGGATTATAGATTTAAGCAGTAGAGTAGTGTTTGGTAAATAAGCTGTAAAATATCTTTTTGCTGTGTAATTGTCAATTTTGCCCTTATGAAGAGGAAATTTGTAATTTTTGTCATTTTCTTCTGTTTAAATATTGAAAAAATTATTTCATTAATGGAAATTGATTAATTAGTACCTAATTTGGTACATTTCATTTACCTCTAATTTTTTTTTTTGTATTTATTTTTTTTGTAATAAATATTGAGTTGACAAGAAAACAAAAAATTTAATTGCAATAAAAATATAATAAATTACTATTAAGGCAAGAAAAAGGGCTCTTCATAGATATTTATAGAGCTCCTAATTTCGTCTGCAAATTGACATACAAATATTATGTCTCCTCACTTCCATTTCGGTGTCATCACATGCAACATCATTCCCATGGCGTGCTTGTTGAGACGAAGATCCTTCATCTTCATTAGGCACATAATCCGCGTATCTATCATAAGAGTCAAATGCAATATCGCAGAGCTTACTTCGTCGGATGAAATTATAAATTGCCATTGTTGCACAAACAAGTTTGACTTGGGTCGGCCACTTGTAGTTTGGTGGGATATCCTTTACCATCGGCCATCTTGCTTTCCAAACCCCGAACGTTCTTTCTATTACACTTCTAAGTGAGGAATGTGTTTGGTTGAATTTTTCTTGTGCATTTTGGGGGGGTTGACCATGTTCAAATTGAGCTAGATGGTATCGCTTTCCTTTGTACGGTGCAAGATATCCTTTCATGTTTGGATAACCAGCATCCACCAAGTAAAACTCATCTATTTTAAAATTTCAAAATAAAATATAAGTAAGCAATTATAAATGTAAAAAGAAATATGAAGATGTGAGTGTGGTGCATCTATTGTAGCAATCGAATATAAAACAGCTACCTCCTTGTGGTTTTGGAAAATTAAAACTAGGATTCTTAATTGCATCTAAGAAGATCCGAGTATCGTGTGCACTTCTTTCCCATCCTGGTAAGCAAAATGTGAAACACATCAAAGTCACATGCGGCCATTATGTTTTGAGTCGCATATCCCTTTCTACCTATTAGACGAGCTTGCTTATCTGGAGATATATATGCTTTGATGTGTGTCCCGTCAATTGCTCCAATACAATCCTATGACATGATAATGAATAAAAACATTTTAGCCACAGATTAGTAAATATCCTACCAACATTAATTATATGTAACACCCAAGTTGCGCTTGTAGTTAATTATTTACCTTGAAATGAGGATAATATTTGCAGTTGCGTCGAATATATGGATGCACACCATTAGTCGGTTGAGGCCTTACCCAGTCAATGGACATCTTTGTAACAGCCTTTAACACCTTCTTAAAATATTTTGAAGTAGTCTCACCAGAATGTTGAAATCTTTCTTGGACATTTCTGTTTCGAATGTCACCACCAACAATAAACAAAAATATTGCAACTTGCTCTTCAACCGAGACTTGTCGTCCAGTTTGAAGGTCATAATTTGTTTGTAACAAATTACACAATTGATAAAATACCTCTCTTTCCATTCGAAAATTTTCAAATATTCTTGTTCGATTCCCTTCTTGTAATTCCACCATCCACATCCCTCCTATTAAACAAGATGTCCTACATGGTTCTTTTATCAAATAATTTGTTGCATATGTCGCTGCAACTGTAGCCGCCGTAACTAAGAGCATATTATTATTTTGTTGGGTTTGTGATGTGCTGCCTTCATCATCAGTATCTTCATCATCATGGTCATCATTCTATTGGTCTTCATCATTGCTACTCATCTTTAAAACTGTCAACTGTGCTGGATAAACCATGTTGCAATTTAAAACTTTATACAAAAACCAATAAATGATAATAAAATATCATAACTTGTCCAGATATACTAAAATCCTGAAGCATTCCTCATATGTTGAATTTTTCTTTTTTCTTTTTTATTTTTTCTGATAGAGGATGAATAAATAAATAAATAAATAAAAATAAAAAATAAATAAGGGGACGGACAGAGTGCCAGAGGACAACAATTCATAAGTAAAAAGACCAAAACTTGTTTTACCCAACATCATGGCTTATTAGAAAGTCCTTACATGTGGTAGTTTAAAATTCAGAATTCAAAGTTATGCCCAGAAGTCAAAATCCATTGGCATGCGTTTATGAAGAATTCCACATATATACTTGCTTCTCTTCTCACTAATTCTCCCCCCTGTCTCTGTGAATCTAATTTTGCAGTTATACCCTCTCAGGGAAATATTCTTTAACATGAGAATTCATATGTCAAAACCCAGAATCTAGAAATTCAAACAGATCAAAATTACTGAAGTTCTGTTATGACAATTAAGCCTGTGGACATGAATGCAATTCAAGCAAGCAGCACTGTGATGACAGTTTAAGAAGCAGTTCCATGGGAAAGAAGCACTGTTATGACTGTTATGACTATGGGACTAAGAAAGTAGTATTCCATCACAAAAATTCCATAGCTACATTTCATGCAACCTGTCTTCCATTTATCCCAAATAAAGAAATAATGGCCATATGAACAAATAAAAAAAATATGGCCATTAATGTCATCCATTTATCCATTTCATGCAACCTGTCATACATTTCATGCTTTACATTTCAACCTGTCATATAAACAAATAATGGCCATACAAAAATGACATAGGTTAAACATTAAAATGTAGAGTAAGAAAATTATACCTTCAACTTCAACAAAATTATTACCTGGACAGATTGAAATGTAAAGGAAAAACAATGTAAAGCACAAAAATGAATTGAGTAAACCATTCAACTACATATACATATATATAACCTTCACCATTAACCTACCAGGCATATTCAACTAACATTCAACAACTAATTGCATTCCCCAACCATTCAACAAGTCAACATGTCAACCATTCACCAACCATTCAACAATTTAGTCCAACATAATTAATAAAATTTGAAATAATAAGTCCACAATTAAAAGTCCAACTAGTCAATATTCATAAAAGGAAATATTAGGGAAATATTGCAATAGTCCACAATTACTAAAATAAGAAGTCCAACAGAACACTCCACAATTAATAATAACGGGACAGTCTACAATTAGCCGCGATAACCTGTGGTGGCCTTCTCCATCTCAATCTCCAACTTCAGAAACTTAAGGCGAACTTCATCCGTAGGAAGACTCATGAAACACTCCCGACGCTTGTCTCGTAAGAACAATCGGGCGGCCCATACATACAGGTCATCATTCGGGGACACACCAGGGATGTTTTCCAACATCGCCAAACAATCTGCAATTGAAGGATATCTTGATGAGGTCTGTGTTGAAGTTCTTGAAGATGACTCAACCACATTGACTATGCGAGCAAGTGTCTTGTTAAGTAGAGCTGCACCAGTAAATTTCGTCTTCTTGCTTTTGGTTGATGAAGCAGGTGTGTTTGATGAACGCTTTTTGTTTAACTTAGAGGGATGAATCACCTCCAAAGCATCATCATCATATTCAGCATCATGTGGGGTATGAAATTCCTCTACATTGTCATCAACGTCAGGCATAACCCCTGAACTAGGAGTGTATGCCCATTCTCTTGTAGCAGCTGCATCTGAGAATATCATGTCTAAGTCTTCACTAAATTGCAATGGCATACGCCGGAATTTAGCAGCATCAGGATAACTCTGCAACAATTACAAAGAAAAAAATAAACATTTATAATTATCAAAATTTGGTGTGTTTAAACAACAAAAACAAACATAATATGTACATTAAGCAATTTAAATACCTCCAATTTGTTGGTCCACCACTCATCAGATGCAGATATAGCTCCATATGCGAAGCACTTGGTCTTAAATTCCCAACAAGATAACCATAACAACCAATTTAGTTGCAAAGAAAGTCAAACAAAAACAAACCCAATTATCACAATAGTATTTAGCACACCCAGAATTTTTAACCATTTGGTTGGCGCCCAAAAACAAAGAACCCCAACTTGAGTTAGAGAAATGAAATTAAAGAAGCAAAATTTATGGTAATTAACTTCTCATCAAAACAATCAAAAACAAAACATTGAACTACCCACTTAGTTACTGAACAAATTAAGACAATTGCAATGCAAAATTATCAAGATTTCCTTCAAATTCTCGCCAACCAAACAGAAAATAAACAAATTGAAAGATAGACAAGAAGAAATACCAAAGAAAGAAAAAAAAAAGAAAAAGAAACCTGAATTCTCGGAGAAGAATAGGGAATTCGAGAAAGGAAAGCAAGAACCCTAGAATTTTTTTTCCTGTATTGTTTTGTTTTATTTAAATTCTTGCAAAATATGGAGGGTATTTAGGGTACAATAGACGTCTCATCGTTGGGTACACAACTGAGCAAAAAAACACATATCTAAAAGCCACCTACAATCATTTGAAGAGTAATGCAACTACCAGAACAATACAAATTGTGAGCAAACCCACAACAAGCTGCTTCATAAATGTTACGGATTGCTCAAGCATTTGGTTCTTTACTTTTAGTCCTACAGTCTCGATGTTTTGATCTTCATAAAGATTTGTCTCGTTCCTCAGCCTCTCTACCATTGTCACAGATTTTGGGGTACACCACCTCCAAAATTGACAATTCCTCTTCTCACAATTTACATACAGTCTTCCTTTTGATGGCTTCTCGAATTCGGTTACCCTTATGGCAGCTCTTACACCACACTCACATTTCAAAGCCTCGTACCTCAAATCCAAGGTCTCAGCACTGCAAGCATAGTTACTAGATGATGACATGCCTCTGCAGTAATTAGGAAGAATTGAATCCACATCCTCTAAAATTGATTGGGAACTTAAAGATGTTATACATGATTATGCTAGTAAATTTAACACTCTGATTTCTGACCTTCAGGTTGGCAACTATGTGATATTGTTAAAGTCCAAAACAAAATATCATGCACCAGTCGAAGTTTGAAACTTCCAACAAAATATCATTACTGGTTAGTGAAATAAGACGCATTGGAAACTGGATCTGACAGTCAAGAAGTTTGTCCCTTTCTTATAGAAAACTTGGTAGATTTGTGCAATTCATTTGTTTTTATGTAGATTCTACATGTTTTTCAAGATTTTCAGTATTGTTTTCTTGTTAGAATCTTAAGGAACATATTTGATTCTTGTGATTATTTTTATTTAGAAAGCTGGACTAACTGATGTTAATTCATGCTATAGGTCCACTATGTTGCTAAATGGAAAGGCATCACTTTTATGACAAGTAGACAGGGACTTGGTGTTGGTGGTGGAACAATAAGATTTCTAGCATGGGCCTCCTATTTAGACCACTGCTTTCGTTAATTTTGGTTAAATAATCAGCGGTAATACACAGAAACAAATGCATATGTAACTCATTGTCAAATACCACTATGAGAAGAACCAATTAACATGATTTATTGAGAATAGTTTTCCAGTAATTTTGAAACTGCTATTCTATCTTTCTTTGAAGCCATGGATAAGTCATTCCTCTATCTAACTCATTGTCAAACTGTTAATGGTTAATGATAATGGTTCAGCTAAGTCATTCCTCTTTCTACATCAGGGAAATTATAATATTTATTCCTAAAGCATAAGGAGGAGGTCTATGGTTAAGGGACAAATAAGCAACAATGATGGATCTCAACAAAAGCCTTGATGGATCTCAACATATGGATCATATGGATCAGGTTTGAAGACATTTTGAAAACTTGACTGACTTATAGTAAAACTTTTCAAAATCATGTTAAAAAATAAGTCATCTTTTAAAAAAATGTTTCAAAAAAGAACTTCAGACATAAATTCAAACAATTGAAAAAAAAAAATTATGAAACTTAAAGACTTTGTTTTATTTGATTTATTATTTGATAAATTAATAAATCATTTACTATTTGATAAATTATTTATCAATTTATTCATATGTTTAAGGTATCTATCCCATGTCTGGGTATTTTCTAAAACTTCACAAACTAATTTAACTGATGAAGGTAAAATTATCAGGTATCTTCATCAAACACTAATTTATCCCAAGCCAAACAAATAACAGGAAAAAATTGTATCAAAAGCCATACACACACAACAATCTTCATTAAAAATTATCAATTATCTTTAAGATGTTATTTACGAAAATAAACTGAATGACAGAAAAATAAAATAAATATATAAATATATCATTTTCTTGAACTTCAGTAAAGGAGAGAGATGAAGTAAGCAGAGCATAAATTTCTGTTTATCTTCAGATAAAGTATACATATTAATATCTTCATTAATAATCAGAGCATACAATATTAATAAACAGAGCAGAATGTGCTTCAAGAGAGAGAGAGATGACAGATAAGGGAGAAAGCAAGCCAAGGGCAAGATGGAAGAGGAAATTTCAGACGGAGAGGGTGAATCGAAGGAAGAAGATGCGATCTGTCTGTAAACCCTAGCTGAAATGTGTGTGTGTGTGTATATATATATATATCACAAACAAAAGCCAAGAAGATGCGATCTTACCTTTTGTAGTGCAGATCTTGGAGAAATCTTCGAGAAATTTCGACTTCGATCGGCTGATCTTCGAGAGATACGAAGGATCGTCTTCGTCGCCAAGAGGAAATGAGAAGACGAGTGTGAGGAGAGGAGTGGGCTAGGGCATGACGAAAGAGGGCTTATATAGTGGCATAACTGTAATTGTTGAAGTTTTGGAGGGGCATTTAAGTCATTTCATGCCCTCCAAACAGCTGCGCGCTTAATTCGAAATCAGAAGCATCTCCGGAGCAACTTCGCCAAAATGGCTTAAAATGACTTTTTTTAAGCTATAATTTGCAACTTTAATTTTTACCAAACAGATCAGAATGGCTTAATTTAAGCCATAAGTTGAAATAAACTGAAGTTAATTTTTACCAAACAGGCACAATGGCTTACATAACGCTTCCAGAACGATTTGGTATAACTTATTACAAGGTGAAAGTTAATAATCAAAAAATAAAATTAAAATCCCATTTTATTCAGTTTTTAGAAAGGGCTTGTTTGGTGTTAATTTTTTGCAAGTTAAAACTTAATAATCAGAAGTAAAAGTTAAAAATATCGCTTTGCTTGCTTCTCAATAATCAGTTTGTTTAAGTTATTTTTATCTCATAAACTGTAAGCAGAAGTTATACCACACACGCTCTAACATAGTTTTTCAAAATAAAAAGCTTTAACTAGTTCTATAAATTGCCCCAAACAACCCTATAAACTTATTGAAGTTATTTTTACTTAATTTGCTATAAGCAGTAGATGCATCACATAATCAGATATGGACTTTCAAATTAAAATAAACTATAAACATACAGTTTATTTAATTGAACAACACCAAACAGTCACAATCTAAGTATTAATTAAGAATATTTTAAAATTATATAGCCTTCGTTTGGGATGTGTGTTAGTTTTTCGATTTTTTTGCTATTTAAACTTGGGGCTAAAAAGTCTCGTTTGAGATAAGCGTTTTAGCTTTTTTGACTTTTGTGAGAAAAAA